CTGGCTGTAGATAAAGCAGAGTTATGACAACCATACAGTACCCCCTCATCCATAATAAACCACAGGGAGGGAGAGCACTTTTACACATAGGAATATTCATTCTCCAAAGAACCAGTACTAGAGGACATTACGTATGACAAAATATTGTAGCCGCTCATCCATTTTAAACACTATGCTAGAGGACTTCACATAGCCTATGGTGGGAATATTGTGTCTATATCCAAACAGTTTGTGCCTAAATTTCAATCTTGATAAGAAGAATTGGTAAATTATAATGTTAAAAGGAAGAGTAAATATCTTTAGATTATTTGGGAGCATTTTTGATTTTTAGTGCAGTTTAGACTCAAAAGAAAGAGAGAGATACAGAAAGGAGGAAAAAAAGGAGCCCCGTCAAGCATGGCTTCCTAGTCGGTACCTTAACTGGCTAAGCACACACATAAATTTGTAATCTAACTTCTTGCACTTGTTTTTTTCCCCATAACTATCCCATTGTTCAATTTGTCCAGAAGCACAGCTACTTTGCAATTAGGCTGATGCATATTTTTAGCTACCAACAGTAGCAAATTAGATGTCGACTGTAAAACAGGGTTATGGAGCAAATTTTCTATGTCTGAATTCTTGTTCTCCCTAATTTTCCAAAGGCTTCTTCTTTAAGCCTCCTTTGCTCCACAATCTCTCTCCTCTCCTTTACTTCTGGATATCTGTCGTGTCTTCCAACTCTTTATCCCATTTATCTCCTCCTCTTCTTCAGGGCACATGTATTCACCACTGCTTTTCAATCCACTCTTCTCTCAAAACTATCTTGGCAAAATTACCTACCAATCTGCTCACAAATATTATGGTAAAAGCAGCTGGACTGTTGTGACTCCTGCAGCTATCTCATGTCTCTTTTCCTCTGCATGGTTTGGCTCAACTTGACTCAACTCACTTTTGATACCAGGTCGTCCTCTCTATTTAATTTTCTGCGGCAGATAGTACCCCCTCGGTGTAGTCGCGATTGTCAGCGGATTGCCGAAGCAATGCTGCATGAAACTGCCAGGACATGAACTTCAATGCAACACTCGCTGAATCCTTTCACTGGCAACAAAGTCTGCAGTTTACAGGGCAGTGTATAGCGTAGTTTTGTGGGCTGCCACTTCTAACAAATCTGCAGCAAGTCTCTGTTGATGGTAGCTTGGCTATTTAAAAACGGCATGTTTGTGAGGGATGTCTGTTATTGCACTGGTTGCGGTTCTCTCTGACCAATCAGTGGTCTGCAGTGTTTGAACTCCACCTTCTAGTATTGGCTCAGCTCACTTGGAACCACAACTTAAGGTGGAACCAAAAAAGGTACCAGGTACTATCCACAACTTTTCCTAAGGGGAAACCAACAAAGTGTGAGATGAGTAGAGCTGTGCCGTACCATGGAGTGGAAATGCGGCAAATTTCAGTTGGCTAATTTAGCAGTGTTTATTTGCAATTGCAGCTCATCAAAAATATAACCTATACAGTATCTCTATGTCATATATGTAAAGCAAATACACAGTATGTTGGGTCTCTACGTTTTCAATAAGTGCCATGTGTACAGACAGAACAAGAAGGGAGAAGCGTAAGAAAACTTCGCCCTTCTTTTCTGCCTATGAGCCAATCTGGTCTCCTCCCATCACAGTTCCTTTGCTTGACTGGTCCTTGCTGGATTTTAAACAACTTAAACTATGGCGTGACATTTGTTTGAGAAGAAAGAGAGCATAAGACGTATCCTGAGAGCATCGTGCCACTTATAATAATAATAATAATAATAATAATAATAACACTTCAGTTGCAAACAGCTCTCTCTTGACAAAGAGCCTATTACAATACAAGTGCAACATGATCTCATCCCTACTCATCATATTTTAAGGCTTGGGAGAAGCCCCCTGTGTCACTATAATGACGTCAGGGGCAGCCTTTGTTGTACAGGGGATTGGAGTCTGATTAAGGCAAGACAATGACTTGGATAGGGTCACAAGAAGAGGTTGTGGTTGACGTTAGTCATGTCAGTCAACTCACGTGACAAATAACTCCCACATGAGACACAGACACCGGTCTCCTGGGTCAAAGCCCTTTGCAGTTAGAGCTCTCTGCCTCCTCTCCCACCTGCCATAAGTGGAATTATGTTTGCGTTACACCATGTTTGTTGCTATTACTATCTAACAATAATGCCATGACTTTACATTGGAGTTTCTGAAGGCCCGGTGAGTCTCATACAGATGCTAAAGGTTACCGCAGTAACGACTACTTTTCCTGGGGTCCACAAAAAACAGAAAAGGACAATAATTATGACCACATAGACAATTTACAACATCTACACATTTAAATAAAATCCAAACAAGAGACAGCAGTAGTTGTATGACATTCAAAATGTAATTCCATCAGTAGATCATAAAAGCAAACCAATACAGCCCATAACCTAGACTCATAGAATTATATATAACTGCATGAACTATATGTGACTGCACAAAAAATGGCTGTACACTGAGGCGTCACTAAGTGAGTGAGCACCACAAATGCACGTAACCTTCACATACATTACATCATATGCTGGTGAAACGGTTTTCTTCCATAATGATTGCTGTTCTTAGTTTCTTCTTAAAAGTAATCCTACAAGTAACCTAGGTTAAGTATAATGGCAGGTTATTCCAATTTGACATGGCTCTGTACATTACAGTTTTCTTTAATGCAGTGGTCTTCAGTAAGGGTAGCGTTAAGCTTCCTGTGCAGGCATGTCTGGTTTCATGATGGTCTCTATCAGTGGCATGTGTTATCTGTGAATATAGGCGTGTGGGTTTTCTTGAGGCACAGATATTTCCTAGGAGGATATGACCCAGGCTGACAAGTGATAACCAGACCGTATCACATGGCAGCCATAAGCTAATCTACAAACTGTTTGGTGAAATCTTAAACAGACTAAAATCATCAACAATCTATCTGTGAAACAGAGAAAAAAAAGGCAATGTTTAACTTGATGCTATTCACACCTGCGACCTGATTTTGCATGATTGTTTAAATCTATAAAGACAGTAAGGGAACATACTTCAGCGATACCCTGCCATTGCTAAAACATAAACAACTGAGGAAGCATTGGCCTGCCAGACTGCATTTCACCATTGATCCCTCAAAGGCAGCAGGTACAAAGTGTTACAGGCTTCATGCTGCTAGACACACAGTACACGCAGGCTGCAGAACGACATGTTAAGCCACCCAGAAAGCTAAGCAAAATGCTGCTCGCTGCCAGGAGGCCTGAAGAGTGTTAGACAATACCAGATGCTTGACAGGATGCAAAGCAGTCTATTAGACAGCTAGATATGAATTCAGCCTACCAGGCAGTCGGGTAATGATAGACTGCTCAGTAGGCTGCTTGACATTGCCATCTGCCCGTGTGCAAAGACGGTCTGTCAGGAGAGTGTACGACCAAGTGTAAGACCATAAGATGTTTCTTTTAAGTGAGCGGTAAAGTCTCTAGTGTTGTCTTATGAAATGCACATTATAGTTTGCCATTTATTTCAATTAGCAGAGGAGACACATTTAAGTGGCATAACAGTCCTTCTATGGAGCCGGTAACTAATACAGAGTGGTTGTTTGGAGTAGATTTATCCACATTTTTACCTCTGATAAGCCTGCCATCTTCATTAAAGTGCAGGGGCGAGTCTCGTTCTTTTCCCTCACTCCCCGGAAGCATTAGCATTTGAGAAAATGCAAAAACAATACTGAGAGGTTGTCTGAGGTACTTGCGGGGATTGTGACAATGTTACTGCAGCCTCTCATCCATATCAAATAGGGAAAAAATAAAAACCTTCATGTAGCAAGACTGACACTCTAAAAGCGAACATCAGAAAATAATGATTGGCTGTCCCTGCAGCATTAATGGATGTCATGCATACTAACAATTGATTCAAACAGAAATACTTTTTTTTTTTTTTTTTTGCATAACTGAGCAAGTAATAGGACTGCTGAGCCTTGCAGCATGTGGCGAAAGCATTACCGGCGACGGCTTGAAAATGGAGCAAGGAGTGAGTGAAATTACAGTGTACTGAAGCATTTGAGTATCTCTTCTTGTTTTGTAGCAAACTGGGTTCTCCATTGCTCCAACAGTAAATGTTGTTTTTGCTCTTCTCCCAATAATACCCCCATGTGTGTATGGTTGTGTTTGTGCACTTGCTCTTGTGTGAGTATGTGGCATCACAGACCCCCTGCTGTGCCCTACCAGCTCACTGTAATGCCCAAAGGCTACCAAGACACAGTGCATTAGTGAGGAGTGTCCACACACACACATGCACACACACACACACACACACACACACACACACACATGCACGCACAAATGTAGCTGATCCTGCTGGTTTTGTAAGAGGCACTTCATGTGATGCAAGATCAAAGATGTGCTCTATTCAAAATTAATACAAAAGTACAGCCAATATTAAAGTTTAATGATGTTTCTCTTATGACCAACAGTCACTCTGATCAGTGATCGCGAACATGGACTAAAGGAGAATCTCAGGACAAAAACTGCACACTCTAAGGGGTGGGAGTGTTGTTGCAGACTGTCCGTGTTTTCCTGCTGCCGTTAATCCCTCAATATTTAAGCAGTAACACTGATTTTGAGCCTGAATATACGCTCATCCAAAGGAATTCTTCCAAGGTCACCTTTGCCATCTCTGACAATTTACTGTTTGTATACATGGGCTTTATATCTTAAATATAAAAGTTTACTGTATTGTTTTTACAGGTGGTGCGCTGCAGCTGAAGCTCACGAAACTGAACTAAATTGTCCTCGGTTATCAAGTTTTGTGTGTTATTGGACGTGAAACAAAATAAAACAAGGAGTCAACAACTTTTTAAGCTCTCCTTCAAACACCCAAGACAATGATGAGATTAGAGGGCTTCTGGATCTAAAACCATATATTCCCAGGATAATCAAAACAATAAGGTGAACTGAAGGCACAGCCAGTTTGCGATCCATAAATCATTTCCGTGGCACTCACCTCATTAATCAGGATCCAGTGACAATCGAAGGCCACCAGGTTGGTCTCCACCACCTGCAACACAACAAAACACACCGTCACATTTAGAGTTGAGACAAAAAGATGCAATTAATTAGGCAGAAATAAACAGGTGTTGGATATATGTGACTGAACAAAAGAAGGAGAGAAGTCTTCTGGTTTTTGATGTTTTTAAAAGAAAAAGAAATTCCTTATTGGTGCCTTTAAATATATTTTCTGGCTCGGGTAATGTAATTCATGGTTAATGAAGTGTGAATATTATGGAAAAGAACATTATGGAAATGTGCAAGACTGAAACTCAGTGTTACGCTGTGGCATAAGTAATTTGAGAAAACTTGCATCAAAGATGCTCAAGGTATCAGTCAAAAATCTTTTCAAACGCATGCAAATATGGCAGAGCTTGCATGTGCGTCACAGAATACTCACAAACACACACTTGGATCTCGGCATTAGAGCTTTTCTCGTGAATTTACCCAGATTAGACGAACTTCTGAGTGGACTGACTTCACTATCTTCCTCTGTTTCTTAGTCTCTCTCTCACACACACACACACACACACACACACACACACACACACACTACACTGCCTCAAAATAGTATGTTTCGGCACAGGGAAAAAAGAAAACCTTTTCCATGAATTGTTGATAGTAGAATGTTAAATATTTATATGTGTCAACTCTTAACGAGTAACTACACAATTGTTAAACACAGCAGCAAGGGCTCTTTGAAATGCTGCTGCCTAGATGTCAGAGTGAGCAACTGCACACATGAGGCAAAAACCTTTGGTACATCAGACACACCCACAGAGCATTTGCACATACTGTACAGCTCTGTTATAACATCATCAATTTCCCTTCATACAGCAGCAGTAATTTCTTTAAGCTCACTCTCTGACTGCTTGTTCAAGTGGCCCTTCTCCCTGTTACCAGTGAACTCTGTCAGCGTCTCACATCCTTCTCAATCATTCTGCGCGGCACACACGAGGGTGAGGCTTTTTCTCATAACGAACATAAATACATAAGTGGCGCACACATTATGAGAACTGCTGCCTCTTGAACCACTGACAATAACATCCCTCTCTCACACGACTGAGGAGTGATTTAGTTTCATTTATCAGTGCACATGTATTTTAGTTTTGCTCTTTTTACCAACCCAGTCGCTAGAATAATTGTTGGTATTGTTTGTTTCTGCAAACCACAGATATCTACCACGTCTCCTCGAAATTGTCTTTATATGCTGTTAACCTGCTTTGCTCTTACTGGCAACGTAATCACCACCTGGAATAAATTCAGAGACAATGTTTCTCCAGGTATCAAAACACTACATTTGTGTGCCACGTGGGCTTTGGAAGGGGGTTGTTAGGGATGATGGTGGGCATGCAAAGTGCAGGACATTGACTTCCTGTTTTAGGTTTAGGCACCAAAAGCACTTTGGTTACAGTCGGGGAAAGATTGAAATTTCAATTAACTGTTAATAAAAAAGGTAATAAAAGCAATAATGCTGTGGACACTGCAAATTGATACTGTATTGCAAGATTGACTTAAAAAACTCTTTTTTTGTGGGCCATATTTGATAGGACAGTGGTAGTGTGGAAGTGAGTGAAAGAGAGAATGACATGCACCATACAGTGCCACAAGTTGGAATCGAATCTGCAGCCCTTGCAGCAAGCACATAGCCTTTGTACATGGGCACCTGTTGAGCCACTTGGCGCCCCACAACATTGCTTTTTTGTTAGCGGAAACAACTGGAATTTTGCTAATACATCCTGTTTAAACAGTTCTGTGACTTACCAGATATATTAATTAGCAACATTTCCTCATTATGTTATTAGAAAATGTAATTTCCTGGGTGTTTTCGCTGTTTCAGCTTAGTATATAAACATAATTTCTAGGAGACAGGGCAGGGATATGTAACATTGGTACGTTATTATGTAGCTGATGTGTTTAAACTTTATGATTCTTGACATTCCAACAATGCTGTGGCGAACGTGTGATTGAGTTAAGGCACAACAATCACTGGTCTCCAACAGTGGTCTGCAGCTTGGCAGCCGTCTCGCCTACTTCTCACACCATCCACCATCCTCTCCACCTCCTGATATCAAAGCCAGCTCACACACATGTAATCAGAACTACATCAGTTTAGAAATTTGGATATGATATGATGGCTCAACTAGGTGTGCCTGTTCTCCTTGCTGTTCTTTCTGTTTCATGATGCAGGTCAAGGCAGAGGGTCGTCATTTACATCATGAGCCACACCTGGGCCAGTTTGCTTCACCACCTTCCAGCAGACTTCCCTCTTCCCTGTAAACTTGTCTCCCATCCTAGTTGCAGCCTAAGAGCCAGGCTGTAACAGTACAGCTATAATGTAGCTGGTGTTTGCAGAAACGTACAATGTGACTGGGCTATTCTGTTCCCAAAAGGTTTATACTGGACACAAGCTTCATAAGATTAAGTAGACCATCACTTAAGGATAGCTTATGGGAACATCTGTAAAGAATAAATGGCAGTGCCATCAAGAACCTAAAAAAAAAAAAAAAAAAACAGGAGGGAAGCAGAAAATAGATGTCTCATTGTAGCTCTTTTTTCTTCCTCTTCTAACTCAAACCAAACAGTGCTCTTATTTATTATCCACTCTCGTTCTGTTCTTGTCTATCCTCTCTATCTTGTCTCTCATCCTTTACCTACCTCTCTTTTTACAAGACTATTTCGAGGCATATCACTCAGTCCGTATCATTTACTCTTGAACAGGAGTGAGGGCTCAGTTGTTACCTTGCTTTTGACTTCCTTTTGTCAGAAACACTTGTTTTCTTTCGTCTCTCATTTTCTTCCCTCCCAATCCCACCCGACCCTTTTCATTTTGCTCTCTTATCGTTGCTCCTGCCTCACCTCACATCCTCACATCCCATCATCTCTGCTCTCCTTTAATTGCTCACTTCTCACTCCATGGCTACTACCCCCCCTTCCCCTTCCCCACGCCCCTCCTGGTGTAAAAAATACAGTGCCACTCATATATCATTTGCTATAATTGTTTAGGTGACTATAGCACTGTGTGTCATAAAACACTTTTCAGCCGTAAACAAAAGGCAACAGCTGGAGAGAGCTGACGGAGCGTGGCTAATAGTGGTTTAATCTCCCACAGAGTCTCCATAAAACTTCATCATTGTAACATCGACGGCTGCCGTAAAACACTTTGTCTACAGGAAACATGGTTGTGACACAGACAAGGAGTAAGGCAGGGAGGAAAAATGATGGAGAAGGATGCAGATCTAGTTTTTTTTTTCTTTAATTCTTCTTTTCTGACAGCATCTCTGTTCATCTCTACTTCTACCTACTCCCTCACACTTTACTTTGGAACACAGCCGACAACTAAACAATGAGAATCACTACAGCGCTGGAGGTTATTAATCTCGTTTTGTCTTCTCATGCTGTTTCTGTCTCTATCTATTGGAGCATTGCAAAAACAGTAACAACCAGCAGAGAATGAGGGAGAAAGGAAAGAGAGAGAAGAAGAAAGGACAGAGGTTTGGCAAGCTGTTCTCCATTTCCCTGCCCGTTTGTCTTTCTGTCTTACTGTCCGTCTCACTGTTCCTTTCCCTTGGCGCTCATTACGGTTTGGGATGATATTTACACAGGATTATGAAAAAACTAACTTTTTAAAAACAGAAAATGCAAAAAATGTGTGTGCCTTAATTTGTGGATGCTATTGGGTATGTAAAATAATGTAAATATGTATATGCTGAGGTTGTTTGCGTGTGTGCAAGTGTTGGTGGATGCGAGCGTTTCCACTTCTCCCATTATAACCTCCCTCTGGCAGCCGTCTGGACAGATGTTTCAAGCTAATTAGCGAAAGGGCAGACTCCTAACACTAGACGTGACTCCTCAGGGGTTGGAACTGTTCAATACACTCTCTCTCTCTCTCTCTCTCTCTCTCTCTCTCACACACACAAGCACGAAACACAGCTACAACAAATACTGCTGCTAACATCCAGAGCTGCCTTGTTTGTGTGCATGTGCATGCCTATTTGCCCAAACAAACTAACAAACCACCGCAACCTTGTTAACAACTCAATGCCAACATGGCGCGTCGGAGTCACTTGGGTATCGTTCCGTTAACGCTACCACAGAGATCCCTCTGACCTCTATGACCGGCTCTACAAAAGCTTCATTTCTGCTCAGTTCTCAGTCTCTGAAGTCAGAAGATCAAACAAACACTGGCTCTGCGGCCCGGGACAAATCAAATCACTCAGTGTCAATATGAGTAAGCCTTTTCTCAAAGTCTGAAAGCAGACAGAGAAGACTGATTTGCAACATCATACCACTGTGCACCCACAGTCTCGTGTGTTTAATAGAGCGGCCGCGATACCGCCGAACACCATTTTGATCTTGTAATGACCTCCATCCACATGTCACTCCTGAAGGAGTCCAAGAAAGAGAAAATCATTGATTCTGGCAAATGGCTGCTGTTGGCTGACATGGAGAGTCAAGGTTTGCTGCTCATACCAAAGCCTGGGTAGACACTGTACACACAAATTGCATGCACACACATGAATATAAATACAGATAAACACACATCACTTTGGACAAACACAGAATATTCTACTGTATACAGCATAGTATCCATGTATATTTGTGTGTCTGTGTGTGAGAGGGTAAGATATATGAACAGAAAAGCAGATATTGCGCAAGTACATTGTGGGGGAAGCTTGAAAAGGACAGTGGGCGTTGCTATTGAATAAAGTGCTCTAAACTGAAAATTAGTTGTGTAATTTAATTTCATGCACTATTTGTGATCAAATCAAGCAAATAGCCCACAGCCCAGCCTCCAAAATAGGAATATTCAAGCTTCACACTTGATCATGCAAGCTGTGAAAGTGCAGGCACACATAAAAAAGGTTACACAAAGGCAAACATCTATAAACACAAACATGCACACTTGTACAGATCAGTTTCTACCACTGCATTCCCTCACAGTCCAGGCACTGCTGCATTATTTTTCCTTCTGTAAGTGTATTTATGTACGCATCATTAACACAGTCA